CCATATGGTTAACAATGTACCAGCAGCCTGGGTAGTTGTTAATGTACGCATTTGTCTGTCACCACCAAATCTGTAGTTCCCTTATGATATACAAATTAGAGTTGGGCGATTCCAGCACTTTGGGAATTGATTCCAATTCCATCCAGGAATCGCGATTCCACTTGGAATTGATTCCAATTTTTACATGTGTGAATGCCATGTTGAGTATACCCGGAATTAAATGCAAAATGCACAGTTTGCAAGTTTTTTCCTAAACACTTGTGTCATTAAAAATTATCCCCTAATTATCAGAAACATAAAAGATTTATTACCATTACAGATTTTTAAATCAGAAATTTTAACTTGATGGAAGCACATCATTTATGGGAAAAGGTTATCAATCTACGTAGCCCGCTGGCTTTCAAGTTTTCCAATTTATATAGAAGTGACCATGAGTTCTAAAATTCATTTCCACAAAAAAGTGGAATCGCAACTCCGATTCCAAATTTGGAATGGATTCTACCCGATTCTAGCATGGATTCGCCCAAGCCTGATACGAATTGTACGTACTAGTACTAATATGGTATGTTACATGTGGCTCTTCCCAAATTGCAAAAAAAAACAACAGAAAACGAAAACATGGTACAACATTAAATGTCCTAGCACAATTACACGTATTACCTGAAGAAAGTCAAAGACAATATCAGTCACTCTTTGAAAGTACGGAAATGGGTAAATGTAAAGTGCCAATTTGTTAAAACCTTCCATTTGCTCCAATATCAAGACATTTTATGTCCACAATGTACATATGTAGAGAGTAGACACTGTGGAATGCACAGTGAATACAGAAGAAGTGCCTTCTGGTACAGGTACACAGTACACATGTGCATACGTGTACACTGTACATGCACAAACAGGTTCCAGTGCTTTACATGTGAGGCACTACACACTGTGCGTAAAAATGGGTAGGCATTCACCGCGTTCAGGGGACAAGTTCTGTTGTTAGGGAAATTTGAAATGAGTTGTGGGGACATTACTGAATATGTTTTTGGTCCCCATAGGTGAAATATCGAGTGTGCATGTACAATACCGGTATGTCCCAGCAACTACAGTGCGGGAAATACGGTATTGTACCGGTATTTTGACTGAGCTGCGATTGACATGTGTACTTGTACATGTGTGTATGTAAACATGTGTCATATTTCTCAATGGACATTGCAGGTGTATGCAGCCATATGTGATACAGTAATGATAGCCGACACGTACGGTGTACATGGTGTACATTTACATGTATGTGACTGAGTAAACCCACATATACACGTTACATGTACCAGTAAATTGTATGCATGTGACTACATAAACACGGAAATATGTATGTACATTCTGTTTTCTCTGTTGTTTGGGGTTTTTTTTTAGATCCTGTGTAAATGAGAAGTATGTGTACCGGAAGTGTAATATTACACATGATGTAATATTACACATGATGTGCATGTAACATTACACAGGCATGCACTGAGTTCCCTGACCAACAAACAGGTGTGTACAGCAAGCTGATGATCCATCTCCAAGGAAGGTCAATGTTTACTCTTGCCATGGATAACTGGTCAGAACAGACCTGACCACTGCAAGGCTTAGGTTTTTCTGCCACACACCCTCTCCCCTCCCCCCCAAAAAAATCAATATGTCCGTGAGGACAGGAAACTCGATAAGACGGAGCCAAGAAGCTCTACAATGGGACCAGACGCCGAGGATCCAATAGGAATAAATCAGCGCCGAGGGTGAATGCGGAGAAAAGGAAGGCGTCGGTTGCGAGTGCATGAGACAGTGCTTGGGAGATCCAACGCACCATCATCAAGTCAAAATCCCGACACAGCAGTGGTCGCGGTAATTATCGCTGGCGTAACTAGATTGGCCGGGGCATCGGGTGTGTGTAACAAGCCTCTCCAGCAGGGATTAAGAGGCAATCTAATATGCATGCAACAACTAGAGGGGAAAGAAGCCGGGTGGAACAAAAACAGACATGGTCAGGAAAACTGAATCAAATGCTGATTGATATGGAGAAAAAAATTTGCAAGAGCAATATGAGGGCCATTGTGGAGTTGACATTCCTTCATCACAAAGAAATATGTGTACCGGTTAATTGTACCGGTGCACAGAACCCACAAAAGACTCTTTGTTGTCATCTTACATGTCAAAGGATGTTGGTGTATGCTTGATCTACATGTACATGTATGCGAAAGTTGGATATTCAAGAAACAAAGGGAAATGCAATGCTTGAAGGCAATGCCACATTATTTTAAAGATAACAGTTTTGATTTACACCATGAATTTTGAACGATTTTGTTTGAGAGCAAAAAGTAATTTTATAATTTTTTCTACATGTATTAAAATACATACTGTGACATTTGTTTTCATGAAAAATCCAATTAAAAATGAAAAAGAAACCAATTTGACTAGGAATCATTTCAAGGTCTGCTATTTTCACCTTGAAAAAGGGTTACAAAAAATTGTCGGGTCCGGACCGAATTTGTATAAATGCAGGTACATACATGCAGGTGTTCATTTACACATTGTACAAAGTTCCCAGGATTGCAAATAGATTTTTTTTTTATGTTAATCAGTCACTTTGGGCAAGCTTTAATGCATTAATGACTGACAAGTGTCTTCCTCAAGCAATTCTTTTCTTTTCTTCACGGACTCTCAGAACTGTCAGCTGAGATTATCACTTGCCGGCAAAAATGACATTGTCATACAAGCCTAATCCTCTTTCCCTTTGGAAGTGACAGATTGGGAATTTTTTCTCTCGGGCAAGAGATTACAATTTAAAAATATATGATAATGATATATATAAATATATTACCACCAAGTAAATACCGGTGTGTTTTGGGACTAAAAATGACGTTTTCGTAAAAGTCCCAAAATATGGACTGTAGATGTACATAATTGGTGTCATTTTTTATTGTGAGGATTTCAAGAAAAAAAAGAATCCACTAGTGCTTATCAATGAAGAAAACCCATGTACATTTATGTATGCACGTACTTACATGTACATGTGCATGTATATGTATACCGTACATGTACATGCATCTACATCTAATGCATGGTATAATATCACAAATACAAGCACTGATTCAGGTACCCGGTACTTGTAAATGTATGCCAGTTCATCACCTAGACACAGGGGCTTAAGGGTTGCTAAGCTGAAGACATCAAGCCAATTAATGCTGGCATTCTGCCAAATACCTGGCACTCTGGGAATTAATTTGCTCAAGAGCAAATAACAAGGAATCGATTGGCTGGTGGATAAGGGCAAAGTTGTGCCGACATCATGACACATGTTGATAATGAACACATCCTCTTTGTCCCCTTGAAAACAATGCGTCTCTGAACTTGGGTAATGAAACATATTTTGTAAAACAGACTTGGCCATTCAAAGAAACTGAATGACTACTTCCAAGGTTGTGATAGGACTTGAAATTCAACTCAAATGGGAAACTTCCAATGTTTTTTTATCCCCTGTTCCAATACCCTAATATTCACTTCCAAAAACTAACTTGATGAGGATATAACCACACTTGCAGTAACAATTCAGTTTACAGTTAACAAGTAGCGTCTCATAAGAACCTGTCCTGAGGACAGGCAAGAACGAATTTGGACAGGCAGTTTTTGCTTGTTCAAAAATTTACAAGCCCTCACTTTCATGTAAATCTGTAACAATGGTTGGCATATTGACCCAAGTGGAAATACCATACATGGCCCAAGATAGCAACAAAGGGTGTCAATTTCAAAAATATTTTGGGGACAGGCAAATATTGTAATCCTAGATGACACCCTCTTCACAAGTACATTTGTCCACATCTTTGTTAAAATATCATTTTTTTTGGTGGGGTAAATTTTTAGTCAATTCCAAATGGAACTTGAATAAGATCTATTCCAAATACACTGCAGTTTTTAACTACAACACCTTGACAGCAATGGCACATCCGGGAGGGGGCAGGTTGCTCGGCAGCCAGCATTTCTTAACAACTGTCCATCAGCCACAGCCAGTTTTAACTCATCATACCAGGTATTTTAAATGGTTTCTAGCAAAGATCGTATAGCGCCGAAGGTGCAAGATGGATAACTCTGCCAAAAAGATGTAATTACCATTGGCGCCATCTGAACAAGCGATACGCCTGCGTAGTTTACGGTAATGCTTAGGCGCAGGCTCACCAGGTGCACGTGCCTGCCGTGGCGCCTGCGCGTATGCATTAATGTGCATTGCGCACGCGTATTGCTTGCTCAAATGGCGCCTATGCGATTACAACGTTTTATGTGTATTCACGGTGAAGTTCGCCATCTTGCACTGCTTCGCGGCACTATACGATCTTTGGTTTCTAGACAGTATTTATCTTCTACACTCTAGTGATGACTTAGGTATCCTCCTTTATGCTTTTCCAAGGTCAACAGCTTTCCAACTTTTCGGGATGCATTCAGTAAGCAACGCAAGGCTGAAGTTCTAGAACCTTCAAAAAAGCGTCTCCACTGGAGATGAATACAGTGGAGCGTTGCTATACTGAACACTGCTATACCGAACATTTGGCTGTACCAAACACTGTCCTTGGCTCCCAATATTTTGTGCACAAACCTACCGAACATTATGTAGTTGCAAATCAACAGAGATTCCCCACAGCATGTATCAGAGATCGATCCTGAGAGGTAGCTTCACGACTTTCAGGATAAACTACATGTAAATATCAATTTTCTAACTCAAGATTTAATAAAAACCCAAAATAATTAACAGATACATTTCTAGAAACCTCAAACGTGAATGCAAAACATCACGAAAACAGCAAATCATAGTATCACAAGAGGGGGCAATTTAGTTAGACAAGAGAGGGAGCTATTCAACATGGCAACGAAACGTTTCGCTATACCGAAAGACCAGTGTACCGAACATTTAGCGTGGACCCTGTCATGTTCCTTATAGTGGCGTTCCACTGTAATTTGAAACCAAAATGCAGAACCAGATGTTTTCTCACCTCTCCAAGTTTTGGTGGCATCCCATCTCCAAGTACATCCTTCACAAAGACGGGCCGGCTCATGTACCCAGCAGGGGTGGAGTATCGTTTAAAAGCCTCCCTAATCCGCTTGAATTCTTCCTCAGTAACTAAGAAAGAGAGACGTGGGTTGATTACATCATTTGGAAACATCAGGAAGAAAAAGAAGCACTTACCCTTGGAAAATCTACAGTTTAACCATTAAAAACCATAAACATGTACTGGGGCTCTAATTTCAGAAGGAGTAACTGTCAGGTGTTAACAGAATACCCACTTGTCCAAGATAAGACAACATTTGCATGTATTTGATATTATGTCACTGTTACGCTGTGAACGCCAGTAAATGTGAGTCCATCTCTCTATTTTTGCTCCTTTGTAAATCAAATTGTAATAAATATTCAAGACTTTATACAAGATAGATCTACTAAAGTTCTTGCATTTGCTCTTTTTTATTTTGGTGTCTATTATCAAAAAGCGTGCCTATGATTCGCGCATACAGAAAGGATATTGCAAGTCAGCACAAACTTATTGATGCAGGACAGCAGCAGAACACTGCATAATTCATGTCTGGTACATACATGTACGGTATTTTTTATTAATTACTTAACTCACTAAACTGCATGAACATAAAACACTGTGTTATATTCCCGAAACTGTCCAGAAACCAAACTGGCATTTCGATATAATTAGCACACTTAGTACACTGACCAAACTTTGTTTTATGGCTTCACTTGTGCAGCTTGACAGTTGGATTAAAATCCAACATGAAATAAATACATTGAAGAGCATCGGATGTCACCAAAGTGACAGAAATGCTGTCCCCTGCAGGCATTCTTATTAACGGTGGGAATTTACATTTAATTTGAAAAACATTTACAAAATATTCCCACACTGTTTAAACGTTTAGCCAAACTTTATAGAGGCTGCTGTCACCTACTGGAACTTTCATACAGGTATCCATAATTATATAGTTCAACAACATAATTATATGGTCCAACCTACATGTACATGTATGTACAAATGTAGACTGATGTTGGGGCACTGAAAACAAGCAATGCTTATTGTTATAGAATCTACCTTTTCTCAAAAAGTACATGGATGTTGAAGGGGACAAAACAGTAATCCTACTCATATGTAACAGGCATCATTCACAACAAAAATGAATGCCAGATTGCATTAAGCAAAAATGTTAAACCTCTAGAATATTTTAACATCTTTTGTATTTTGAGTGTACACTAAAAGTGTACTCCATCCTAATATTTCTTCCAAATATTCACCAGATATTACTCAGTTCAGAAAGAGTTCCATAGGCCCTTTAGACAACACTTATTTTCCAGTAAAATGTTATAACTGCCATCAGAAATTGATAACGTCCTAAAAAGAGAACTTCAGCTTCAAAAATTCTGAAGAGTTTACTTAGAAAATGCTTAGGAATGTTGGGAATTTGTTAGGGTTTTTTATACAAGTCTCATAGGCCTAGGTTTGTGCACAGGGGCACAGACCTAGACCATGGAGGAATAAAACATTGCAATTGTTGTCCGCAGGATAGAACATTTTCCCCGGGTTTATAGGCCTACATGTGGTTTAGCAATCGAGCTCAAACCAAAAAAATCCATGTGAGAATTTATGTAATTGTTGCAGCACAAATGTACTTAGGGCTTAGGCCCAACCATGGGGCCCAACTCACACATTACCACAGGCGTGGTGCTGCAAACATGAGGATGACTTAGGCCTATCACGTCAAGTAAGTGGGCCTACATGTAGGCCTATGTCACGTCAAGCATGTGATTCTACCTCCATGCGCCAAGCAACACAACACGCACAGTGTCATGACTGTCAATGATTGTTGCGTCAATTTGTGTTACACCCCCGAGTCAAAATCGACACGGCAAACACGGCAACAAACCTCTTCTGATGGCATCTTCGTAGGGGATTATCGAGGGCCTGCTGTCCTTGTTCCCCATGCTGAAAATCGGACGCTGTCCGAGTCCTGCGACTCGACAAATTCCACGATTTTTAAGGGGTTGGCCTCACACTCGCTATCGACGTGCCCACAACAGAACCGCCGCCATGTTGCGCTCTGTGATGTCACATGACATTGAAAAGGCGACTGAGGCTGGCCGGTCGTGTCGGTAAACTTGGCTACGGCCAGCTATAGCACACAAAACGTGAAACGGCTGCCGCCGATATTCTGTGACTTCCTTAGGTTCTCGTGTTATTGCTAGCCATAGCCAATCAATTCGGACACGGCCAACCTAATAAACGTGACTCGTGAGGTTTTCATTGACGTCTGAAATTGGTTTCTTAATTTGTTTGATTGTCTTACAACTGCAAGTCAGTTAAGTTGCATTTTCAGTGTCTGGCTTTACTGCTCTGTGCTCTTAATCTACGATTTTTCTTGAGACAGCTGGTAAAGGAACATCTCTTTCTTGGCAGGAATGAAGACCTCAATCATGCACAATGAAGCTCAAGTTCAACAAGTCCCGCATTGCCGAGTTTGTAATTCAATCGAATATGTCTAATCTGATAACACTGAACTTGTGGAAATCTCTGCAGAGTGTGGAACCAAGGTGAAACTGCAAATTACAAATTAACTCTTTTCTGACGAGATATCTTCCAATTAGTGGCTCCTTCAGGCTGTATTATATCCCCATTTTAAATGTGAGGTCACACTTGTATCTATATATAAGCTAAGGCCTAGTACAAACATGGCAGAAATCACTGTGATTGAGGTTTATGAATGGGCTGCTGATATTGGGAAAGACTTGGAGAAACTCATCAATGCTGTTGGGAGTGACCTGGTGGTGGAGCTGATGCCCAAGGTGGTGCGGGTCTTGGAGCAACTGGAGTTGTGCATCAAGCAGCGCGAGAAAGGGATCGGTGAGCTGCAGCAACTGCAGGAGCAGCTGCAGCTGGCTAAGCACGCAAGTGTGGTCGCCTCAGATGAAAACCTGCGTCTTATAATGGCAAGTGTGTCGATGAGACCATCTTGGTGTATATAGCCATGAGCACAGTGCTCAGGGGTGCCCGGTGGAGACGGAGAGAGAGGATGGTTGCATGTGGGTATTTTGAAATGAAAGTGTGTATAAAGTTGTGAAGTAAAAGATACAAAGGAGACAGTGGGGAAACTGCTTGTATTGAAAGATTTTGTGAAGACTCCTTTGTGTTCATTAGAACTATATTTTCCATGTCTTGTTTTAACTTGTAGGATGTAAAACAACTCGATGAACAAAGGCAGAAAGAAATACATGACTGGATGACAGTGGCAAAGAGACTGGAACAGCAGAACAACATGTTGATGGCACAGCTGAGTGAGAAGGAAGGCATAGTTGACAAGGAGAAAGGTATCAGAATGGAGTTAGGGACATGGAATCGTTCAATTTGTCCCTCCCCAATCTGTCAGCCGGGTCCCTCCCTTCTCCCATCCATTGACTCTGTACCAGCATAAGTGCAGGATGCGCTACATGCATGTGGCTTCGTGTGAGCCGTTTTTGCTACATGTAGCATGCAGTGAAATGGATACTTGTAAAATGGATTACACGCCACTTTTCATCTGAATCTGCACAAAACTTGAACATGGGTGCTGAGCACACGGAGACTGGCGTTCAAGTATCTGTCATACTTCTTTCTCATTTACCTTAATGATGATGACAGTGATGAGAATCCTGACCGTGCTGACAAGAAGGTTGGATCTGTGTGTCAGGATCAAACATAAAGAGTAACAAATCTTTTGGACTTTTTATTTCCCTTCCTCCCCAAAAAGCCCTAAATTGTAGCTTCACCCCCAAAAGGACCGTAAAAGGTTACGTGAAAAAAATTCTGATTAGTTTCCCCCCCCCAAAGAAACAAGTTCCCCCCTGCCAAAAATATGGTTCTGGATCTGCCCTCAGGTCACTCTCATGACAGTGACAACAACTGTGGCCATGAAATTCTTGAGATTGTAGCAATAACTAGAGTGGCAGTGATGGTGATCTGTCTTTTTCGTTCCTCGCTGCAGCCCAAGAGCAGGAGGCCTTGCAGGTCCTCTATCAGTTGAAGGAGACAGTGGATAAGCAGAGGGACGCCATAAGAGCCAAGGATGATGAGATAGCCACGCGGACGTTGGAGGTGGAGGCTGTAAGTATGGTTTAGCAGAGTGAAAAATGGAGTCAGCCACAAGCCATTTACCAGTAAAAGGGAGAAGGGCAATGGCAGGTTCCATTCTTTTGAGTATCTTATGACTTTCAACTACATGTATGATTTGAGATGGACTTGTGATCTAGACCTATGATGACTCATTAATGACTGTTGATGACTTGTGATGAATTCTGATGTCTTATGATGGCTTGTGATGACTTGTAATGACTTATGATGACGTGTGATAAATTGTGATGACATCTTATGACTTGTAATGACATGTTACCTAGACTTATGATGACTTGTGATGACGCGTAATGACTTATTATGACTTGTGATGACTTATAATGACTTTTGTAAATTTTGTAAAATTTTCAAGTTTGTAATGCTATCCTTTGATTCTTACTGCAGCAGAGTGTTATGTTTAGCAGCTAGTCAAGGTCGCTTAATCTTAAACTTCCAAGATCCTTCCAAATCTCACAGGGAGGTAGAGCCCAGCCACTGTTACTTTCTGTTGGGCTTTTTCATGCACATTATGAGATTGTGTGACATTTAAGGTGTGTCCTTGCTAAAATTATTGGGAATGACGGATTCAAGGTCTGAGTTTATTCCAGATTCTTTGTTGTGGTCACAGCTACAGCAGCACGTCGACAGGCTGGCCAAGGTCACAGCCGACCTGCGCCGCAAGAATGAACTCCTTAACACCATGGCTAAGAACTTCATCCAGGAGAAGTCCCAGCTGCAGTCGCAGCTGACAGCGATGGACAAACAGCAACAGCAGCAGCAGCAGACGCTGACCGAGCACCAGGGGATAGTCGAGCAACAGCAGAAGAGCACAGACGACGGTGGCGACGCCCTGGATGGCGAGGCAAACGAGGAGAATGTACCCACGGGAAATATGGTAAGAACTTATTATAGATTAAGTAGGGCTAGCCCGTGTCTGAAATGGACTATGGCTTAAGCTAGTTGCCATGGTACCCTAATGGCAAAAAGTGAGCCAAAGTCACAATACAATTCAGATGCAGCCATAGTCTTAACACGGCCCCAGTATCACTCCAGCCAGTGGTAGACTGGATCAGTTTAGGGGAAATAAAAACCGAGAGAACTTCAATTCAAAGTAGGACATGTTTTGACCGGTAGTACGTTGTTCAGTGAATGAGATTCAAGAATTTCCTAAAAGAGCTTCTGTCCTGCTATTTGGTTTGCAAAGTAAATTCTGTTAGCTCTACTGTGTGCTTAGAATCAGTTGAGAGAAATTAACTAAACTAATGTGCACGCATTACAGAAAACCTTTTCCTGGTAACTTCTTTTCATTTAGCATGATTATGTGCAAAGAAAAAAGAAAAAAAATTATACCGTGCCGAAGAGTTCTGTGAAACTCGGTGAACATAGTAGTGTTCGGTTGGAGTCTTCTTAAATTTAGCATTGGTCATAATATTTCCAGGTGACCATCGACTTGACAGGCAAGGAGATCATTGACCTCAGCGATCCTGACAGACCCCGCTTCACACTGCTAGAGCTCCAGACTGTCCTGCAAGAACGGGACGAGCTCAAGCTGGACGTGATGGAGCTGGAGGACGAACTACAGCAGTACAGGTGGGCGGGAGTCCATCCGTAGCTCGAAACCCCATTTTTGAACGGTTTTGTTGACCACTACGAAAGCTAAAGTGTCAGGGGGCGTGACACTGGAATCCTTGCAGCATCTGTCTCAGTACATTTCAGGTCACTGTAGTCAGAAGGCAGATAGCAGCAAGTGTGGTATTTTACAAGTCTGAAATGGAGAGGCTCTGTAATTCAAAAGGAAAGCAGTTCGAGAAAAGGGCTCTTGACATAAGGGCTGTGACATACAACAAATTGAATCAGACATTGCTAGAGTTTCGTTTGCGTGTAAAGCATATTTTGTATTCAAGTGGGATTCATGAGTGAACATCAAAATTTTTGTTCTTTTGCGAGTCTGTGTGATATATTGAGGAAAACAAATCTGAGTGTCTTCTTTGTTTTTAATGAGTAGGTTTCTTTAATTCTTTTTGGTGAAAGACAAAGTTATTTGGTAGCTTGAAGAAGCAGAGACAGAAGACGATGAAGAAATGTCTAGTTTTATTGTTGGGTGGGGAAATGACATTCCATTGAAAACCCAAAGAATTTGAGAGGGACTGAAATGCAGGTGAATTCAAAACTCAGGTCATGAAGGTGAAAACCGAAAGTACCAGTTGATTTCAAATCACCATACCCTTTACTATTTTTGCTTGGAGTCTGTAGACAATAGTATGCAATCGGCGCCAGCCTAATGTGATTGCTTGTTGATCTTAGGGAATACAGATAAATTCACAAGAAATATAAACCTGCCAATCGGGGCATGAATGCATCACGCCGCAATCCTCATATACAGTTCTGTTCTTGATGTTTTTTTTAACTCCAGACCCAAGGAAGTCGATGTCCAGTTGACAGAGGCTGACCAAAAGCGACCAAGAAGCAACTCCAAGAATAAAGGAGAGCCATCTGGCATCAAGAAACTGTATGTACCAAATCTATGACATTTGAAATCACAGATTTGGGTCCCACCCATGCGAGCTGAAATCATTCTCACAGGCTCTTGGACAACACTGGGAATACAGTGATTTGGGGAAAACCAAAGTATATCGAATGAAGGACAGGAGCTTGTCTCAAAATGTACATATGGGTGCTATTCACATTAAAGAGCGCCACCAAAAGGTTAATCCAAAGAGGCCAGTTTGTACAGTGCATCGTTGAAAAGTCAACATTCATCTGTTGACTTTTGAGGGTGATGTTTACTTGTAAGCAGGTAAATCGTATGCTCAATTGTTTTTGGACATGCACAGTAGACCTTATTTAAAGCTGTATTCAATCGCATTCCCTGAACCTATATTGTTCAACACAATCTGTGGGTATTGTCAGACTATGTTGGGTTCCATGGCTCACTTGAAATTGTTTGAATATGGCTTAACATTTCATTATGTGTAATGGACTCTTATTCAATTCAAGTCAATATGGCCGACATGTAAATGAAGTTCATTGAAATTGACTCTGTGAAATAATAATGATGCCAAACAGCATTAGTTATCCATTTACTTTTGCTGATGCTCAATGAAGCAGAGATGATAAGTTGCAAGACAATAATTTAGGGAATTCGCCCTGAATTCCAAAAGCAGCCTATTCAAGGGAAACAGATTGCATCATTAACCCCTCTGAGAGAGACACTTTATATGCACTTTAACTTTCACATTGAGCCAGTTCAGTATTCTAATAGCACATGCCCAAAATGGAGGGTGTCTGAGGTCATCCAGATGCACGTGTAAGGTCCACCTCATAAGCACAGTCTTATGCAGACTCACACATGTGCTGTTTTCTTGAATAGCCTTAGGTTGTTTTAAATATTGAACCAGCTTACTTCTTAAATAAGTTTCACTGTGTCTTTCCAAATATTTTTGTTCAAATGCTAAACTTCTGGCCTGTGTTGCCATTTTGTCACATATCTGATCTAGTGTGACCATGTGTTGCCCCAGTGTTTCACACATGTGCAAGATGTGTTAGCCTTGCGCTCCAGTAGAACAATGTTTTACTCTTTAGTGAGTACATTTTATCCGAGTGTTCAAAAATAGCATGCCTGCTTGAGCAAAGTTTACAAGCTTACAATTGTGTGAATTTGTTGGAGTTTTGAGTGATCTGTGTGAGTGGTTATTTGCAACATTCTGCTAACCCCTCTTTTTAGAGCTTTCAAAATCCCCAAGAATGTTTCTTTTGAAGGATGTCGCAGGATTGAGCAAGGTAGAGCCCATCCATGCCATTATTATTTTAATATCCCTTGGAGGGTGAAGTACATGCGCAAAGGGTGTGACATTGGCTCTCCTGCAGAGTGGAATATTTATTCAGGAAGGTTTCAACTAAAGTACCTGACACGCTAGGGTCCAGAGGTGACATCTTGATGTTTTTATTTACTGTATAGTTCATTCTTGCCCTTTTTTGGAGGAGTGTGGCTGGGTGCTTAAGGTTTGTCAAACAAACAGATCAGAGGGGTCAGGAGTTTGAATCCAGCTGTTGGCCAAAAGTTGTGGCCTCAGGCAAGCCTCTTTACCCTGATTGGCCCCTCTTCATCCAGGAGCATAAACAGTTACAGGTGGTAGCTATGGAGCAAGGTGTGATAGACTGGTATCCCATCCAGGGGGAATAGAAACAGTTTCAGTTATTCCATGCAAAAGAAACTAAAAACCTATGTGATAAACTACATAGGCTCATGACAGGACAAGTAACCTCAGCCCTGCTTAATCCGGTAACTGTTTACTTTTGCGTTTCGTGTTTCCTGAGATTGACTTAACTTGGTTCTGCCTTGGTGTTAGCTCTTAGACAAGGAGGGAAATTTTAAAATCAGAAGTGGGAGAAAAAGCCTAGAGAGCCTCAGATGAATCCCACAAAACTTTTTATGGACAAAACAAATGGTTACATTGTTGCTATGGTTACAGCGAAACTGGAATCATCTTAATTAAGTACATCTGAGGAGGAGGAGGAGAAGAACAAGTCCTGCGCAAAATACCCCAGAAAGAGACACAGTAGACACTGGAATGCCATTGCTGCTGTGTGCTCAGCCCCCATTCAAAGCTGCGACTTGGTTGTGCACATTCTGATGAAAATTAGTTTCTGCAATTTGTGCACACGTCAATTACATACAACATGTCTTTCCCAAAGGAGATCCTTTGAGGGGCCACACAGCTATCTTTTACGCCTTTGGCATCATGGTTGACTCACTGTCTTCTACCTTGATAAAAACCTAGTTTTCGTAACTTATTTTTTTTCTCCTGTGATCTTTGTAAACCCGTTTAATGGTGACTGACAAAGGAATGGGCCAGTGAGGAATGTTGTAACGGCAGAGGTGAGACCCAAACAGCTAACAGCATGCTGGATGTGTTTGTCATTGTACTGGTCAGCTTTGTTGGTGTGTGCGAGTCCTGTCTGTAGACTAAGCACTGGTGGCAGAACACCCCCCCTCCCACTTTTGGCAGCGGGGCAGGGTGGTCATTGATTGGTTTTTTAATGGCTGATGTGTGATGCTCTCACAACTGCTGCCCCCCACTTAGAAAATCATTCTGCACCGTTGAGACTGATCCATCGGCTAATGAGCAGAAGGCATGATTTACGTAGCGCCACGGTAAATGTTCATGTTATGCACAGTTTAAGGGGAGGGATGTCTGTTGTGGAAATTATCTGACACCAGGGGGTTCTGTTTGAATAGACTGAACAGGGCAAAATTCTTACAATAGGGACACTGTTCACAGTGACCTTTTTTGCCGTCAGTCATGTGATTTTTTTCAGAGGACAAGGAGTTTGCCGACGAAAAAACGAAGAAGAGGGTGGTATCATGGTTTCCAAATCTCTCCCAACCCCTCCACCCCTTGTGACGGTGCCGGGTGCACATAAATTTCGTTGAGTTGTAACCACATTAAACCACAGCTATTTCAGGCTTCTCACTGAAATGGTCACTGTCACCCAAGCTGTGGTTGAATTGGGCCTGGAACTCCATTTAGGTGTTTTGTGGCTGTGGCTTCAAGCTCTTGACATTGACGTGCTACAGTGGAAAGCCACAGCCACTGCCCAAAACCCCCTTTCTCGCAGTCTTGGTTTTCACTGTAAGTGTTGGATGTCCATTATGGTTCTACTCCAGTGACAATGTTCACTTGTGTCATTTGTTTTTACTTTTTACTTATTTTGCATGCCTTAATCACAGCACAACTTTAACGTAGTATAGCAGTTGCGTATTTCTGTGGAAGCACCTGGAGAGGGGGGCTACCTCTCCTGTGCCATCCCCCTCCCTATAGTTATGTTATTGTTGTACCGTAGTGGACAATCACTTACTATCCACCTCGAGCAGAAACCCCCCCCTTCATCGGTTGAAAAGAGCCATATTGGTCAGGAGTGTTCATTTTGTTGGTAGTGATGCGACCATACCGTGTGCATTTCATAGTTGCTCGTGAACCAGGGAAGTTCAGATCCAACCAAAGGGGCCTCCATTTCTAAGAAAATTGTGCCCTCTCTGGGTCCAGCTCGAGGCTCATAGTGGAAGCAACTTTTGTGTGGGCTGTACTTGCTCCTGGTCTTGAGTCTTGACTACGTCTGTGCCTTTCCATTTATGTTTTTTGTTGGTTTGTGCACCAGTGTTTACTTGATTAGGTAGTGAGTTATGGGAGATGATAGTATTACAGTTGCCCTGTATTGTTCCCCTTTTGCAGGTTTTCATTTCTTTTTGGCGGCAAGAACAATGTGAAACCATCCCCTGAACCCCAGGATGAAAGTACTTGGGAATTTCTGGAGAAACCGAAGCAGGAGCTGCCCCCTGCAGATGAGGCAACACTGGCAGTGACTGGCGAAGACCAGAGGGGACACTCTGTCAGCCTGACCCCCTCGCTGTCCCCGCCGGCGCGCGTGGACAGTCCGATACCGGAGGAGACGCCCCTAGAGGATGACCAGCGCCGGAGGAGCTACTCGGGGCCCGTCCTCATGGCCACGCGCAAGGAGCCCTTCAAGCAGCGGGAGCGCATGACCTGCGTCCGCACGGACAGCCACCAGCTGATTGAGTTGGGCCACGACATCGCGTCGCTGTGCCGCCCGGACCTGAATGCGGACCCCGCGGTCCCAGCCACCAGTGCCATGTCCCCGCCAGGCCAGCCCATCAGCCGCAACAACAGCAATAGCGCTGGAGAGACCAAGGGCAGTGGGGGCGGACAGATGATGATGGAGGACAGACAGGCAGGTGATGCGGAGACTACAGGTCAGGAGTCAAGCACTGATGTTCCAAAAATCCTCATCAATAACAATGACATTGAAGAAGCAGAGGTGGAAATGTAAGCTTGCAGGGCAAGTACTGAGCAGTAATTTCAGAGAGGTGCTAAAATAGCTCACCTTTGATAGCATTCATCCTCTACCACTTGTACTGTAAAATAATCAATAATCTCAATGTTTTATCAGAAATATGCAAGGTTTTTAAGTTTGAAATTCAAGGTCAGTATTGAGCATGAAACGCTGATATTGTATATGAGAGTGATACATATGCATTCATTTCTAACATTGTTCTGTTATTCCTTGGGTGTGCCAAACATTTTAGTTTTCAATTTACAAAATATTATTTGTAGCATATGATGCTTTTTAATAATTCTATTTATATTGCTTTTTGTTAATACAATCCTTAATTTTTTATGGAATGTTTGAGTAGCAGAAGTGTTCAAAAAGATCAAAAAGGGAAGTGTTTTAAACTTTTTTAGTTCACTTAGTCTTGCCCTAATTAAAACCCACCAAGTGAGATTTTACCACTGAACATTTATTTGATATGAATGTAAATACTTTAGGGGTATTCAGTATAAATTTATGGAATGTTTGATCACAGTACTGACGTATCACATATAAAAGAAAAGTATTTTCTTTCCGCAATAATATAAAATTGAAATTAAAAGGTTGTATGTTTGGTGGTCTGAAAAAATACTGAGGTGTTGGATATGTTTCTGACAGTTTTCTGAATTCCCGATGATTTTTGAAAATTGTTTTTCTGTTTTTTTAAAATGCCCATATCAAATATGTGTATGCCTGTAAATTTGTTAAGATATACTCATAAGGTTTTTCAAATGAACAAAACAGGAAAGCTTTTTTAATTGTTGGTTTCAGCTTGAAGAAATTTCAATTGCTATGAAGCTGATATAAAGTTCAATTTTAATTGTCGAAGCTGACATTTATTATTAGTGAACCCGCTGTGTACTATTCAAGACATAATGTGATGATTTTGTATTCGTGATGTTTATGTAATCATTCGTACTCCCAGCATGCTTGCTGCCTTCAGAAATTGAAAGCTTCCATTTTCAGATTGAGATTGAATTATTTCTACATTTTTGAAGTACATGTTCAACCACAATGAAGACTGGTCTTTAGCATTGTCTCTTTTTTATTGTGATGTGTCATCTGTTGGGATTAAGTGGGTGACTTTGCTTTGTCTTATGTTGCATTCCAATTTACTATTTTTGCGAGACTTTAACGCAGCTAAATTTAGCTTTATTGATGCCATGTCTGGACTGTCACCGAGTAACTTTTCCAAGAATCACATTACCAAAGGGCACGTCAAGTCCCATTTTTCCCCTTAATTCAGTCACAAGTAATTTCTTGAGATAAGTAACAAGTCACTTTTTCTAGGCAAGTCAAGTTATGAGTCATTTTCTTGAGACAAGTCAAATCTTGAGTCATTTTCTCAAGACAAGTCATAAGTCAATTTTTCAGATCACAAGTCCCAACTCTTTTTTGAAAGTCCATCTGCAGTCATAATTTGACATGGCACACATTTTCCAACATCCCGTATTGATGTGATGCGGTGTGCTTTACCACACATTGGTAGGCAAGATTTGCTTGCCCTATTTTCCTCCAATGATGTGCTGATTATTTTTTTTCTATGATAAAAATTAGTATGATGAAAAAGACAGGCTTTCCCTGCTATTGTTTTTTAATTTATACTGTGAATAATGTCAAATATAACCTAGGTTTTTTATTTTCCCAGTTCAGAAGATTTGGCAGTCAAATTTATTACGATTCATTTCATGGAACTTTCAACATATTCATAGATCAACATTCAATTTGCTAAAACAAATCATTTAATTTCTATGACAAGAACGTAACATTTCCAGTACGTCCAATCATGTTGTTAACGTCCTCAGAGGGCAAGAGTGTTTTATCACTGGGATAGGCTCGACTAAACCTGTTGTACGTTTGTGAATCGTAACTAAGGTACTAATAACAGAAAACCGCCTCCAATACAGCATTAAGATGCTGTTTGCAATTTGGACGGTGGGATACTTTCATTTGTGGCAGCTAGCAGCTGTGGAAAATTAGTTCTGCTATTGAAATTCCCCAGATTAAATCACAAACCATGAAATTCTTCTCAAGTTAGAATAACCCTCGGAGCATAAACATTGTTTTTTTATACAGTGTGCATGGCAAAGTGCAAACGGGTACATGTAATAAGGGCATTTCACAAAAGTGCAACTCCAAGAGTTTGCAATGCGTTGACCAATCACAATGCGCGAAAGCTGTCGACAATTTCCAAATGTGCATTGGGTCAACAGCTTTGGCGCATTGTGATTGGTCAAAAACCAAATAAGCTGGGTTCCTCTTTTGAGGGCTTTTCCAAAACCAAATTTCTGGGGGGAGGGCCAAATTTGTTTTGGAGGGCAAAAAAATGTGCAATTTTTTCATGTAACCTTTCTGTCCTTTCTGAAGGGTGAGAATGTTTTTTTGTACAAGCAAAAAAGTGAAATAGACCGGGAAAAACCACCCAGCTCCATAGAGTTGGATGTATAATAATGTATCCAACTCTATGCCCACCTCTCACAATTCTAAGAGTTTTTTTGGAAAGGGGGGTCTTGGTCCCAATGCCGCCCCTCCCCCCTGTCCGGCCACTCCGACTCCCGTTCGCGTCTTTGCACCCCCCCCATGGTCACATATGCCCGCCCCGGCCCTCCGACGTCGTTTTTACGCGAACCCTGGACTCGGACTAGCTAATGTGTACATAATACGTGTACGACTCGACTAGGCCTACGTGGGATCGTGGGTTGGCGATGGCAGGGCTGGCGTGATTGACTGACTGGCAAAATGTCTGATTTTTACGAGGGTTCTAAGCTGTACGATTGTGTGGTAGTCGGGGCAGGAATCGAGGGATCGTCTACAGCCTACCACCTGGCTAAAAAAGGACAAGAAACGCTGCTTCTTGAGCAGGTATGGTTCGGCCGTCCAGTTACCCAGTACTACCGCCGTACCGGTAGGTTGCGACGAAACCGCGGGCCCGTTCCCACAATCACCACGATCACGTCGGATCAATATCGGGCCATGGATCTAGCCCCACACGTAGGGCTGTAGTGGCTCTCTACAACCCGTCTCTCTTATCTGCCAAACGGGTTGTAAAAGAGAGCCACTGCCGCCCTCGTGTGGGGCTAGGCTAGGAGGAACCATGATCACAGTTCTCGAGTTTTTATAAGAACCAAGGTTCCCCCAAAACTCAAATTGGCAATCTTTACATTCATTTATTTAAAACTTACTATTTAAACTTGTTGATGTTCATGACGCCTCAAAATTGTGAACAGTAGGGTACTGTTCCCCTCACTTCCCTCCTTCATGTTTTAGCCTGTATTCAGGCATTTCTGGTGTGGGCAAAGATGGTGTAAGACCAAACAAAAAAGATGATTTATCACATGACATATTCTATTATATTTAAAAATGCATAATTTTTTTGGGTTAAACCCTCAAGCTTAATTTTGCATACATCGATTTGTGGGGAGGCATCATTAAGTGTCTATTGTTAACTTTTAAGACCCTGCATATTTGTGTACCTCAATTTGCTTTTCAAAATGAGATAGGAATTTAGAAGTTGATCTGTTTGTTTAAATTCTTCTGTACTTCAGTTTCCTCTTGGTCACACTCGAGGCAGTTCCCACGGTCATTCCCGCATCACTCGCTATGCCTACCCGGAGAAACACTTTGCTCAGATGATGCCAGAGTGCTTCAAGATATGGGCAGAGCTCGAAAACAAGACCAACACAAGGCTATATCGGTAAGTCAATGTGGGGTGGGGATCTCTCCAAACCTCGGGCTCGTTCTCTGCCTGGGACTAGAGGGAACAGTTTTTACAAATGAGATCGCCAAGATAGGTCAGTCCAGCTTAATCCTAACTTCACCAAATTGTCAAAAGTTGACCATGCTTAAA